CACGATGCTCCAGGTGGCTCAGTACAGAGTGGAGAGCTATGGCTATGAGTGCTATGAGCTATTCAGTGGATCTATTTGCTCTGTAGGCAAACTGGTGTGGGTCGAGGGTGGGGGGGAAGGCAGGCCTTTATGTGATGTAACACTCAAAACACTTCATGATCACAGGTGTGAGTGCAATGGGGCGGTAGTCATTAAGGCTGTCTGTGGTTGCTTTCTTAGGAACAGGAATGATAGTGGCAGTTTTAAGGCAAGGTGGGATAACAGCGAGTTTCAGGGAGAGATTAAAAATGCTGGTGAAGACCTGTGAGAGCTGGTTGGCACACGCTCTGAGCACCTTCCCAGGTACTCCATCTGGACCAGCAGCCTTCCTGGGGTTCACTGCTTTGAGCATCCGTCTCACATCATGCTCCTCCACAGTAAGTGGGGGGGGTGCTGGAGGCGGTTGGGGGCTGGGGTGGAGTTGCTAATTGCTGCTGTGGTGTCTCGAAGCGAGCAAAAAAGCAGTTCAGCTCCTCTGCTACCGACACACTTGAGTCCCCAGTTGTCGTGTCACACCCCCTGTAGTTGGTAATGTTCTTAATGCCCTGCCACACCTGCCTAGGGTTGTTGCTTGTGAGGTAGTCCTCAATCCTTGTTTTGTAGTCTGTCTTGGCTTTTGTAATTCCTCTCCTCAGGTCGGCTCGAGCAGCACTGTAGAGAGCTCTGTCCAATGACCTGAAGGCTGACTATGTCCGATATCGAGGATTTAAACGTTGTGTATTCATTGCATCACTCCACACGCCTTTTCTCCTAATGTTAACGGCTGTAATCGATGTTAACGTAAAACCGGAGGTGGTCATTGCTGTCAACGGCAATGCCTTTCAATACAGCTTTTCAAAATAAACTTTAACCAGAACTGTTTTCAGAATAAAACAGTTTTAAGCTTACTGTGTGTTTAAACTAAATTACGTCATTCAATATTGATTTTAATTTCTTACACTATACATCAGGGGTACTCAAACTTTTTTGTTAAAGGTCCACTTGTGAATTTTATACAAGGTCAATGGTCCGGATCAATGCCAGTAAAGTCCCCCCCCCCCCCACACCCCCGGAGCGGAGCAACGAAACTGAAATTAAGAAGCAGTTTCGGCGTGCTATGCATGTACTTTGGTCAGGAGGTTTTAAAGTGCTATATAAATAAAGTTGGATTGGATTGGATTAATCTACCTTAGCCCCCTTCTGGTCCAAGCACTTGCCTGTCGGTAAACGGCGCCCCTGTATACACACAGACATTCAATACATACATACATACATACATACATACATACATACATACATACATACATACATACATACATACATACATACATACATACATACATACATACATACATACATACATACATACATACATACATACATACATACATACATACATACATACATACATACATACATACATACATACATACATACATACATACATACACACACACACACACACACACACACATACATACATACACACATACATACATACATACATACATACATACATTCATACATACATACATACATTACATACATACATACAGTATCATGGCTTGAACTAGTGGGAGAAATGGCACTGTTTGTCTGTAGCCAATGCCTTGAACCTCGGCAAATATGGCATTAGAAGCATTAGAAAGTCAAGGTAAACTTGTGGTTAACTTAAATGCGTGTGACACTCGCGCACAGAAGTAAATATATTCACGTTCATTCTCAGACACAAGACAATATACATTAAAGGGGACCTATCATGCAAAATGCACTTTGTGATGTCTTTTATACATAAATATGTGTCCCCGGTGTGTCGGGGAACTCACGCAGCGTCAGAAAATAAAACCCGCTCTCTTTTCCTCCGTACCCAAATCTTTTAAAAACAGGTGTACAACGAGCGGATACAGATTTGCTGCCAATCTGACGTCAAATCGGCAGCGGACCCACAGAAAATTGCTATCAGAAACAATGCCTGACACGTTTTGAACGTGTTTTGGACGAAATCTCGTCTTTGTTTACATTAGCAAGCCTCGCTAACACTCAGAGCTAACCTGTACTGGAGAGCACATGTGTTTAAAAAGCAGGAAATCAAAAAAGGAACTCACCTTGTGATAAACCCACAAGAGAAAAAGCATTCTGTTTCAGAAATAATCCTTGATGTGGATAAGAACAGGATGGCGTTTTATTACAACAGAATTTAACTTTATCTCCGGAAGAATTCTGATCAGGCATTAGTTCCGCCTCCTCTTTTTTTTTCAAGCTAAGGACCCAAAATCCGCGTTTCTCTAACAGGGCTGCACAAGAGGGGTATGAGCAGTATGAGGCATGGCTAAAATGGGTGAACTGTTTGGTATTTTAAGCAAAAAACTTCACAGACCTATATTTGTATAGGTATGGCCCTACAATATATTTTTTCCAATATAGCATAATATGTCCACTTTAATTTATATCAGAATCAGATTTTTTTTAATTTATCATTTTATTTATTTATTTTTATAATGGGACACAGGGTTCGGTCCGGATTTATTTGCAGTTCGGTCCGGATCCGGATCTTGGTCCGGAGTTTGAGAAGCCCTGCTATACATCATACTATGAAGAGTCATTTATGGAGTAGCGACAAATCATTTAGTTTAGCAGTCTTTTAATACACATGGTGGACTTCGTGACATGACTTGCAAGCAACTGTGTGTTTGTGTGTGCTGTGTTTGCCTCAGATAGGTGTTTGTGGTTAACAGGTCGGAAGGAAAGTCGAACGATTTTCTTTGGCGCCACACAACACACACAGACATACACACACACAAACACACACACACACACACACACACACACACACCACACGCACACACACACACACACACATACCATGTATACATCACTTCAGGGGACATTACATTGACTTACATGCATTTCCTGGAGACTTATCCTAACCTTAACCATAACCAATACATGCCTAACCCTAACCCTTACCCTTAACCTTACCCTTACCCTAACCCTAATCCTAAACCTAATCAAGTCTTCACCCTAAAATTAATGAACCCCCTCATGGGGACCTCCCTTTTGTCCCCATAAGGGAGGCGAGTCCCCACACGTGACTGTCTAAACGGATTTAGGTCCCCACAAGTATAGTAATGCTAGGCCACACACACACACACACACACACACACACACACATACACACACACACACACACACACACACACACACACACACACACACACACACACACACACACACACACACACACACACCACACACACACACACAGAGAGAGACAGACAGACAGACACAGCAGCCATGCAAAGTGCTCCAAGACGGAAAATACACAGCCAAATGAGATCTGTAGAAAACCCACAATCATTTGCAAACACTGCTCAAACAGAAGTTACAGCTTCAACATCATCCAAGCACAAGACAGAGCTGTGCTGATTAATTTACAACAATAACAGAGCTGTATATTTCAATGGCAAAATGATAGAACAATTATGGAATAGAACAGCATATGTATCACACTTAGATAAAATACATTAACACTTATTTTTACATAAGCATGTGCATTCAACATCTTAGTCATACAGTTGACAAAAATGGTGGGCCACTAATCAAGGCGAGGGTCGGGGAAAAACCATTGCACCGTGGTTCATGCAAGCCTTGCATTTACCACAAACTCTCTCCGCCCCTCAAACCTCCCCCGGTTTCAGCACATTGAGACAGAGTTATACTTTCTCTGCGGCCTACACATAACAGTTTATTTTATACATATTGTCATTGTGGTAGCGCCACCAAAGGATGTTAACTGAAAGCCCCCAACCCTTCCACAATGTCCATCAGAAACCCAGCACGTCACACGATGGCGGTGGAACAGGACGGCCATCACGGTGGGGGGAAACTGAATTAACTGAAACCGTGAATTACTCACCCATGGTCTCGCGAAGAAGTTTTAAGTGGACTTTTGATTAAATGAATAATAATATATGTGTTGTGGTTTCAATAACAATAATAATAATAGATTACATTTGCATAGCACCTTTCAAGAGACCCAAGGCCGCTTTCAAGTATCTTTCCTTATTAAGGAAATGCATATTAGGCCTATATGGTATGTAATATAAAACTTCTAAAATGATGAGATAACTATTTACAGATGTAGAGCAAAGACATACCCATCATCTAAACTCCAAGAAACATATGTGTTGATATGAATGTAAAGAGCATAAGTACAAATCCAAACCCCCAAAACTATTTTGCTCTGTGGGTAGTGGAATATACTGTACTCAAGTGCAATTATAAGGTTCTTGTCCTTTAGTATTAGTTTAAACATCACCTCACTTTATTTCAAATGAAAATACTTTTTTCCACAACATTTTTTGAAAGCTTTAGTACTTCTTCCTTCACACAATTAGACACATGTGATGGACGGATAAAATGTGATACTATAGAATCTTACTGACAGAAAATTAAATAGTTAGCCTACTATTAGCTACTATTATTAAACATGCTAATTACACATGAACACATCATCATTAATGTAGTATTATTCTACGATGTGATAGTTTAACACTCACATGTTTTGCAATAAGCATTTTCAACTTAGCTAATATTGTTTATAGTATTTAAAAAGTCATAGTTATATAATATGGTAATATAAGCAGTATCTTTAGATTCTGGTATTCCTTATTTTACTTTAGTAAAGACTCTAAATATTTTATGATAAATAGTAAATACTACTTTTTGGACCCTCTTTGACTCAATAATCTCTACCAGCTTTCACACTAAAAAGAGTTGCACTACCAACTGACTCAACTATGTCACTATGGTGAATCTTTGTCTTGTCAGGTATTTTTCAGGTAATAAAGTTCATATATTGAAGAGATAAGAAGCTAAGAGAGAATGCCCCCTCAGATGCTGAGATACCAAATGTAGCTCGATGAACCAAAACACACATAGTTCTGCAATTCACAATCACCACAACAAGCTGCTCATTTGTGACCATATTTTATTAGTACTGTCACTCAGAATAAATGTACACAAAGTATTATTTACATATCTACAGTCATCATATACACTTAATCATTACAGTTATACATGAAAATGGCAAATATGATAGACTACAATGAGGCAAGGACTTTAAATAAAATATCTAAATGTTAAAAGGTCTGTGGAAATCAAACAAAAGCAATAGGAAGTTATAGCATTTTAACTTTTGTGTGACGGTGTTTGTGTCAGGTTAAACGTTGGAGTTGCCAGTTCTTTCCGTCGATGTAAGCCATGCTGGTCAATGTCCACACTTCCTTGGGGTCAGAGCAGATCCTTTTGTTGTTCCGTGTGGTAAATCTATTGAAAATCAAAACACAGAAAAATACACTTTCAGTAAAATGTTGTATCAATTTTGAAGAGGAGATGATCAAAACTAAGTAAATCAAACAATTTTATCTTGATGAATCACAGTTTAATTTCATCAGTGATATCAATAGATCCAAGGACATGTTATGAGAGACTTACACCACTGCGTTGATAGGGCATGCCGATTGATTTTGTTTGTAGTAAATCACCAGCTTTTCTCGCTGGACCTTAGTCTTTGAAAGTTTTCGGCAACAACTGGCTATCCCACCTTTGAATAAAGACACAAAATGATATTATTATCAGCAACTTATTTTCTATAATCATAATCCATTACACCAGATATTACTCACAACATATTAAATTAATGGACAAACAAATATGTTCTTACCCTGAGCTGAGGCTGTAGACACCAAGATAGTGATCATGAGAAGCGAGACAAAGACGAGGTTCGTCATCTTGGGTCTCTGGCTAGAAATGATATGATGTGTGTGTCTCTGCTGCAAGCCCTTTTAAGCCCACCAACCTGCAATACGTGAATTGCAAGTAAAGCATGCTACACCCACTGCTCTGCACACGGCTGGAAAGAAGAGAACATATTTCCTCTAGCAGCTAACTGCCGTGGTTTTCGCCCCTCTACTCATCACTGGTGGTCTGAGGGTGTCAGAGAATGTTCCACTGCAGGAGGTTGTGGTTTATGCTTGTATTTTATAGTATTCAAATTTCTAAATGTTATATGGAAAGTAAATGTTACACTAGTAGCTACATAGATCAGCTCATAAATTATGATCAGAATCAGAATACCTTTATCTGTCCTACACAGGGGAAATGTGCATTGTTACAGAAAATAGAGACAAATGAAACACTATTAGAAAGGTCATGCACATAATATTTAAAATGAAGTTGATAAATAATTCATTATGGTCAGAGAAAATTATGAAGTGATTGAGGCACTTTCTCTACTTCACTATCATTTTAAAAGGATCAAAGTACATTTTTTGCAACTTTCCTACACACCGATTTTTTAGATATTGCTTTTCTTCGTTTTTTTAGATTCTTTGTTTGCCCGTTTTTGTAATAATAATCCACTAATAACCGGGCTCAATGTAACCTGAAAAATAGGAAAGATTAAACATTTTCTGTTACTTCAAAGGTCAGGGGTAATTGGTAAAGTCACTTTTTACTGTGAGGTTTTTGAGGTGTGTGTGTATTTGTGCTTCTGTCTCTGTGTACTAATTTGTGGCCTTTTATTGTGGCCAGCCTAAGGCACACCTGTGCAATAATCATGCTGTCTAATCAGCATCTTGATATGCCACACCTGTGAGGTGGGATGGATTATCTCGGCAAAGGAGAAGTGCTCACTATCACAGATATTTTCAGATTTGTGAACAATATTTGAGAGCAATGGTTATTTTGTGTATATAGAAAATGTTTTAGATCTTTACATCTCATGAAAAATGGGAGCAAAAACAAAAGTGTTGCATTTATATTTTTGTTCAGTGTATATCACATCATAAATCTATCGATTACATTTATGATTAGAAAATTATAAAAGTAGGGTAGACATGTTGATATTATCCGGCTGAACAAAACGTGATCCGTCTCTTAAATTTGTGACCTTATTTCGAGCTATTTTCCACAATCCTATGGAGAAATTGTTGGTTTTTGAAGGGACTTCCCATGTCTCAGGGACTTCCCATGTCTTCCGCAGTATTAAAGTCAAATCTGAGCGCAATCAGCACCTGCAAGGTTGGGGAGAGCGCAGCGTTTCTGTCTGATCCGTTCTGTTGTTGAGGGGAGATCACCTCGATTAAATCAAAAAGGGCTTCTCTGCCGAAATGAAACCTCTCAGCTCACTGAATAGATATCCAGTGGGTTTGTTCGATCACGGACGACTCTCTCGTCTTAATGCCCTTTCGTTGTTACAACATGTAAACAAGACGCACTGCCATAGTTATTTTCCTTCTTGCCTGTTTTACGTTACTATGGATACTAGTCTCTCTTTCCAATTTACGCCTGCTCCATACTAGGCGTAAAAGTTACACCCGGGCGCAACGAATACAGGGCTTAAGTCTAAGTGGTGCACTAGTCATAACTTTAGTTTGGTCTTAACCTTCGGTTCTACGTCGGACGTAGAGTTACGCCCAGCTTAGGCCCAGTTTACGCCCAGCTGGTGCACTCCACTACATATGTGTAATTCGTGGCACAATTCAAACGGGATCGAAAGATAATCTTTCTCTCCCCATTGACTTCAATACATTATTTTTCCAAAAGAAGGTCCCATGGACCGGAAGTAGATGTCGAAGGAACCGGAAGTGGCAAAATGCTAACTTACTTCCGGGGTTTAGGACGCGTCACTGTGGCACTCTATTGATGCTAGTTAGTTAGCTAAAAGATTCAAGAGTAAAAGTTTGTTGTCTTTTTGAAGTCGAACTTTTAAGGGTCGTAGTTATTTTGTGTAATGTTTTTTTGGGATGCTGTGTCTCATTGGTCAAATGTATCCTGATATGTGAGTATCTTTGCTATGTCAATGTTACCTTACCACAATATTAGCTAGTTGTTTTATATATGAGAAAACCCTGAACTTTCAAGTGAATGAACTGTGCCTGTTGCATTTCAGCTAGAAATAAAGGTCACAGGGTAATAAGATACTTGCATGATCTTGTATTATTCATAAATTAACTTTATAGATAATGCTGTATAGGCTATTTGTTTAGTCAACAATCAACAATGGCTTCACTGATTGTATGTTGTTCCTTATGTAGGTTGTTTTTCTCCTGGTCCAACTGTGTGAGAGCCTGAGAGATGCTGCCACTATATGAGAGAGGACACAGGATTCTGGCTTTGACACTATGGATTCTTCACTTGGATTCCAGGTTAGCTTTAAAAACCAAAAACATTCCTTAGAATTAAGCTTTTATCTAGCAATTGACTTGATTGAAATTCATTAAAGCACAACCATACTGAACATATAACACTACCCAAATGCCCAGGTTAAGGCAATGAGACATTCAAGCAATGAAGGGTGACTTTAGTGTGATGTCAGCACTTTCTTGAGACCTTCACAAGAAAATGACAGCCTTTGTCGTTAATTCAAATGAAGAAAAAAACCCATATATTAATAGTTACCTGGCAAGTACCACTAGTGGCCGTTACATTGATGACTTGATTGTCAAGAGCAAAAGAGGAAGTAGCATGAAAGAAAACCTAAGTGAACATTGTTTAATCATCAGTGTGACGATTGATTTCCCTTCTTTAAACAATTATACATGTGTATCTAATAACTGTGAAAAGATTGTGACAATTCCCAAGGGGTCGCACGTTTAGATTAACCTAAACAGAATTCAAACCTGAATCTGACGCTCCTCTCAGGTTTACATAGCTCTATGGTTCTCAGATCATTACTAAACTGGCTACTCTCAACTTTAATGTTTTGGTTCACTCTAATTGCTCTTATAGTACTCTTTTTGGGTGCACCAGGCAGCTGTTTCCAGCAAAACAGCTTTTTAAACTGTTATCTACCTGCTCAGTTAGCTGGTGAACATAGCGTAGCATTTAGCATCTAAATTGCCAGATAATTCTTTCGGGATTTGTTGGAGATCAACAACACAACTCAAAGAGAGTGAATGTTGGACAATCATCAGGTGGACAGAAACATGACTCCAAATGAATGATTGATTATTTAGATTTTTAACTGATGTATGTGAAAAAAGGCAATTCATATTATCATTTGCCATATCAACCTAAAAGCTGATATATCCATGTTGTGTTCCAAACTTTTCTCATTAACATTTTTGTAAGAAGTTGTTGACTATTAGGACCTTTGGCTTTTTTGTGTCCATTCATTTGTGTTGTAGATAAGGCATTAGTTGTAGAACCTTGATAGAGATGTATTTTGAGATTAATTTCAATGGACTACAACACATTTCCTAATAAGTAGTACAAAGAAAGCAAAGACAGTGTGCCACATATCTCTCATGTAGGGCAAGTCTGTAGCTAAGTGAAATTATATTTATAAACATAGAAAAGAGAACACATCACTTAAATTAGGTATCTCCATGTCTCTGCAGAAGTAATCTTATAGTCAATAAGCTCTGATGGAGCTGTCGCCCCGTCACTTTCCAAAAGACAATTACGAGGAGTTGTTTTCAAATGGGCCCATTATGTTTAATTGACTCTATCCTGACCCTCCTCAATGACACTCTGTTATTACGATTTAGGAATAATCGCTGCTTTATCCTTTAGTTGTACCGCAGAATGCTGAGGTCTGCTGGGCATTGATTCACTTTAAGATTATTCTCTATTGTTCTCTCATTTAGGAATAAGTTGGAGCATAACGATAATTATATGAGGGAAGAATAAGTTCTCACACAATCACAGTTACTGTCTTGATTGAATGTTTCAGATTAATAGCCTTGGTGTAAAGGAGAAACTTGTGAATGAGGTTCATAAAGGAGAAGTTCCATTTTCATTCAGAAATGTTTCGTAATTTTATCTCCGTTTAAGTGCCAATCACACCGGTTATGCTTCCTTCCTCATTTTGAGAAATCATTTCTGCTTTTCATTGAAAAAGACATTTTGATGTTTCATTCACCAAATCCAGTAAGAGCCTGCCTGTTTGATTTAATATTTGCTTACTTTGCTAAAGAGCCTGGTGGCTTTACCATGTGCTGTTTGATAAAACTGCTATAGATGTTTTGCGTTTAAACCATTTGTACATGCACATTTTCAGAAACTAAAACAAATAAATATTAAGTAACTGATGGTTTTCTGAAGAGTGGAAGCAAATGTCCCTCTTCGTAGATTTGACCCAAAACATAATACACACATAAAATAACATTGTCTTTCTATAATAAATAAAAACACCTGAAAGGACAGTTTGGTAAGATACAAAGCAAGTGAAATATAGACTTCAAAGGTGTGGACATGCAGAGTATGGGTCAACTTTTTGAAATGTTCTTGTTTAAAGATCATAATACTGTATAGGTGTGGACTTAATTCAAATTTTTGATTATTAAATATATCCTTTATGTACAGCTCTGGAATAAAAATTAGGAGACCCTTTTGTTTCCCTTAAATCTCTACATGTATGGCAGGCCAATCCAACACAGAGAAATGTTGTCAGTAGTTAATAGAATAAAATAAAAATAAATTCTTTTTCTCAAACATATACCTATACACTAAATAGTAAAAACCAAAGAATAATGCTACAGTGGTGAAAAATGTTTTTCGGGGTGTATGTATATTGTGTAACTTTGGTTAACTGTTGCTACAATGACCATTGTTTGTTAAATGCACTTGTTACATGCATCACAGAATTAGCCCCTTAGGCCTAAAAATGAAGGTCTGCTGTGTTTCCCAGTAGATTAAAATCCCAGTGTGCACATCTGGAAAACCTGTATCTCTCCCATCACCTATTTCCTTGACTTTTTTATAATTATGGTCAAATCCTCTCCTTTGGATATATAATATATATATATATACCAGACATCCCTATCAACCTTGAAAATAAACCCAAATGCTGTGTCTCCTAAGGGC